TGACAAAACAAGTGAGAAAAAAATTTAAATTTAAAAATATCTTGACATTTGAACACATTCATAAAATGAGCAACAAAACAACTTATTTAGAATTTTCTTAATGCTGCTACTAATACAGTTTGTTGCTTTTAGAAATGTTTTCATCTTGTTTTTATCATTCTTCTTCTTTTTCGCACCGCTCATAAGTAACCGACACTATGCAAACATTAACTATATAAATTTTTAAAAACGTTCTCAAGGAAACAAAGGATGTTCCGTGTGTGCAAGTACTCATTCACCTTTATCTATATAAATAAAATCTTGCCAAGTAAATAGTTTATCCTTGTGTGTGAGAGATTGTTACTTTAATATCACACTTACTACTATATTGGGATAGGTATTATGAGTTTGTATAGATATTCGTAACTCCGAAAAATAATGGTCCTCAACTTTAATGTGAACCTTGTAAACAATCTGCAAAAAGCGTGTTGGTACTAGAAAACATTTTAAATCCCCTAAATCTAGTATTTATACCGATATTTAGTATTAATCATTCAAAATAAAGACCTGTTCGTAGTTCGAAGGTCCTATCTTCTTCCTGAATCAGATTTAAGTTTTAAAAATCTTGATCCAGAAATTTCATATGATAGTTAAATATAATTCGGATTAAATCCACTTAAAGTGTTAATTGTAAGTACATACTATTTAAAATAGTTCAGACTGAGACCTAGTGTAGGGTATTTTATGTGTTAATATATCTGATAATACGTTCTAACCTGTTTTCATATACAAATAAATACACACATAAGATGAGTGGTTTTATATACATACATATGTATGCAAAAAAGGTTTTATCTTTATATAAACTTTATCTGAACTTAGATTTAAAATGTTTTATTGGTTAAGACTTTTCAATGTAACGGAATAGAAACTAAAAGGGGAAGTTTTTAAGCAAAAAAAGTTTTAAAAAAAAAACAAGTTAGAGTGCTAAATTCGGCTGAGCCGAATCTTAAATACCCTCCACCAGTTACTTTTATATTAATACTTTTCTAACTGATCAAATATTTGTAGAAATAAGTTTTCTCATGTCTTAAATAGAAAAATCCCAAGATTTAAACAGCTTAAATCTATTACAATTCCATGATTTATTGAACATTACAAACGCAATTTTCTTTATATTTTTATAGCGCTTAGCGATATTTAGTAATTTGCATGTATGCATGTGTGTGAAAATTAAAGGATTTTCAAAATACATATACATAATCTACACAAATTAATGCAACTAGGTAAATACGGTTAAAGTGCTTTCAGGGGCAGGACCTAGATATGACCAATTATAGTCCGATCGTAAAAAATTCTTTAAGCTAAATTTCTGTACATAAAAGCTATATTTCAGTAAAATTTTATATCTATATCGTAATTTAGTAATAAGTAATGTGTGTTTAAGTGATTTTCGGAAGGGAACCTTGTATGGGACCGACCGCACCCATGTTATGAGCCGATCGTGAGAAATCTTGAAATAGAATTTTTGTATACAAAACTAATATTTGTGGCAAATTTTGTATCAATAGCTTTATTTGGTAATAAGTAATGTGCGTTTAAGAGATTTTCGTAAAAGGACCTTGCATGAGAGCTATGACGAATTATATATAAAAACAAAATTTCAAAATTCTGTATCTATATCATTATTTGGTAATGAATATTGTGCATTTAAGTGATTTTCTGGAGGGGACCTAGTATGAGAGCTATGACCAAATATGGACTGATCGTAAAACTATTTTATAGGGTAATTTATGTATATAAGAGCAATAATTTTGCTAAATGTATGATATCAATATTTGGTAATGAATTATGTGCGTTTAAGTGATTTTCGGGAGGGAACCTTGTATGGGAGCTATGACCAAGGTTGGACTAATCGTGAAAAAATTTTGAAATAACATTTATGTGTACAAAAATAGTATTAATGCCAAATATTTTATGGGTATCACTATTTCCTAATGAGTTATGTGCCTTTAAGTGTTTTCTGAAAGGCACCTTGTATAGCAGCTATGATCAATTATGGACCGATAGGAAAACAATTTCACAGTAATATTTCTCTGTATATGAGCAATACTTCTGCCAAATTTTATAGTTAGTAATGAGTTATGAGCGTTTAAGTGATTTTCGGGAGGGGACCTTGTATGGGAGTTATGACCAATTATGGACCGATCGGAAAAAAATTTCACAGTAATATTTCCGCGCATATGTGCAATACTTGTACCAAATTTTATATGGATATCTTAATTAAGTAATGATTTATGCGCGTTTAAGTGATTTTCGGGAGGGGACCTTGTATGGGAGCTATGACCAATTATGGACCGATCCGAGAAAACTTTCACAGTAATATTTCTATGCATATGGGCAATACTTATACCAAATTTTGTATGGATATCTTAATTTAGTAATGAGTTATGCGCGTTTAAGTGATTTTCGGGAGGGGACCTTGTATGGGAGCTATGACCAATTTTGAACCGATCCAAAAAAAATTTTCACAGTAATATTTCTATGCATGTGGGCAATTTTTATACCAAATTTTATATGGATATCTTAATTAAGTAATGATTTATGCGCGTTTAAGTGATTTTCGGGAGGGGACCTCGGAACGGAGGGGACGATCGGAAAAAACTTTCACAGTAATATTTCTATGCATATGGGCAATACTTATACCAAATTTTGTATGGATATCTTAATTTAGTAATGAGTTATGCGCGTTTAAGTGATTTTCGGGAGGGGACCTTGTATGGCAGCTATGACCAATTATGGACCGATCGGAAAAAACTTTCACAGTAATATTTCTATGCATATGGGCAATACTTATACCAAATTTTATATGGATATCTTAATTTAGTAATGAGTTATGCGCGTTTAAGTGATTTTCGGGAGGGGACCTTGTATGGGAGCTATGTTCAATTATGGACCGATGGGAAAAAACTTTCACAGTAATATTTCTGTGCATATGGGCAATACTTATACCAAATTTTATATGGATATCTTAATTTAGTAATGAGTTATGCGCGTTTATGTGATTTTCGGGAGGGGACCTTGTATGGGAGCTATGACCAATTATTGACCGATCGGAAAAAACTTTCACAGTAATATTTCTATGCATATGGGCAATACTTATACCAAATTTTGTATGGATATCTTAATTTAGTAATGAGTTATGCGCGTTTAAGTGATTTTCGGGAGGGGACCTTTTATGGGAGCTATGACCAATTATGGACCGATCCAAAAAAATTTTTTCTCTGAATGAATTCTATTGACATATGATTTTAATTTGTAAAATTTTGTGAATATATCGACATTCTGACGGAAGTTATTAACAAAAAACCCATTTTCCGGGAATATGTACTTTTGTATGGGAGGTATATGAAATTGTGGACCGATTCTGGAAATTTTCTGCATGGATCAAGATCTTGTGCAGAAACGAATGTATGGTGATTTTCATGGAATTATCTTGCATAGTTTTGGAGAAAATTACATTAGAATGTGTAAAAAATGCTTATTTTTTTCGAGGTTGTTTTAAATTTTGATTCATAACTTTTCCCGATGTGAACCGATTTTGCTCATTTTCAATACCAAACTGTACCGGATAATAATGAATATTTTGGGTGAATTTGGTTAAATTATATTGCTTCGTTTTAACGTGAGCGTGTTTTACACAGACAGACAGACAGACAGACAGACAGACGGACGGACGGACGGACGGACGGACGGACGGACGGACGGACAGACGGACATAGCTAAATCGACTCAGAATTTCATAAGGACCCAGAATATATATACTTTGTTGGGTCTCAGATGAATATTTCTTGGTGTTACACACGGAATGACAAAGTTATATATACCCTCTATCACCACTGATGGTGGTGGAGGGTATAAAAATAAATAAATAATACAAATTACTTATACGAAATTTAGTATTTTGCAAAAATTTCTTAGAGTTTAAGTTTAAAATTCAGAGAAATGTTGAAATGTATTTGTCCCTTAAATAAATGTGTATTATTTTTAAGCGTATAATATCCCAGCAAAAAGTTTAATTACCATGTAAGGAGTTAAAATGTTAAAATTTACTACACAATAGCATTTTAAGTCATTATTTTAACATTGTGATGACATTGTAGGCAAGTACTTACCACTATCGCTTATGTATAAGGAATTAGAAAATGTAGTCAATGTTAGTACATAGTACGAAAAAACATATACAGCTTTTATAGCTTCACGGAGAAGATAATTAATGAAAAAGAAATTATTTATATAACACATTATTAATAAGACGTTATTAGACTACTTATATGTAATCAGGACGATATGTAGTAGTCACTGAAAAGTATTTTAATATGTAAGTAGTTACAGCTAAAAGTCATTACGGAGTTTTTGCTGGGATGATAAATTTTTAACAAAATAATATGAGAAATTTTACGCCAGCTCTCCGGTACTGAGCTTTGACCAGATACATACATTTTATCATGGGAACTACAATAGTTCGTGAAAAAAAATAAAATAAAATTAACGCTCTCTTCTTAAAATGAAAAAAAATCATTTAAATCAACACAACATTTAGTAATAAATTTGTAAAAGTAATTTGAAAAAATGGAATAGTTATTCAAGGTTTTACTAAAATCCACTAACAATGCTATTTGCAATTTAATGATGACCTAAAACTCATCATAACTCGAATATTTTGGTAACAAACTTTAACTTTTATGTTCTTGCTCATTTACTCAAATCTAATTTTTACTTTGTAATTGGATTTTTCAAACTTTATAACAGCACGTGTTAATGTTATTATACCATAGAAGACTATAATATGACTCGCACGTGTTAATAAGATAGATTAAGTATATTTAATATTAAGTCAAAATGTTTTAAAATTGCATTAATAATTTTAAATGTCAACTTTCTTAACCTTGAAAAATTTTATAATCAGTAAACAAGATGAAATACAAATATTTATAGAGAATAAAATGTCTTTAACTTACTTTTTACATTAGTTTGAATATAAAACGCAATCTGAAAAAGAAAAATATGGAAAAAAATGAGAATGATTATTGCAATAAATAACATATACTATCATTAAATAACCTTTAAAGTGGCATAACTCTAAAATTAGAGTTTTGAGAAAAATATAAAAAATATATGAAATACTTTAGCACAATGGATATTTTAGTACATTAGGGTTGGTGACAAAATAACAAAAATCTTATTTTCGGGTCATTTTGGCAAAAATCTTCGCACTAAATGTCTGTCCGACTGTTTATTAAAATCAGGTTTTTGAAGGCTATAGATATGTTTGGAATTCAAATTATAGAATTTTTCTACTTAAAAACAAGTAAACATCGGTCCATAAGTATCGGAGGTATGATCAACATTCTAAAAAAATAAAGGAATATAGATCAAATTCTACCCTAATGTACATGTACTTATCTGCACAAATATTTATTTGTAGAAAAATTTTTTAATACAAATTACATTTTGAATAGTAATTAAGATAAAATAGAGAGCACTTAAACTACTAGCAAAAAATACCCTCAAAAACAAGGAAAGTAAAGAGAACAAAACCGTGATAAATGTATATGTCGATATACATATGTATGTATGTCCATATGTACAATAGAATCACTTTCCCTTATGCATACATATGTACATATGTATAAATACATTCATTCCAGCAGTTCAAAGTAGTTGTCCTTGATTACAAATGGCGAATTAAGTATCAATTTAATTTATTTATATGGATCTTTTTGTTTTCTTTTAGATTACTTGGATACTCTGAAGAGATGTTCCAGTTAGATTTCCTGTAATAGTAGTAAACAAATATGCTATCAAAAAGTTATACATTGGCCAGTTTTACAACTGCTTGGATATCATTAGATCTGTTACCAAAAAAATGGATAAACTTAAATACTATTGTAATAAAATAAATAAAACAAAAAGTATAAATAAATGAAATTATACCCTACACCACTTTAGTGGGGAGTGTATATTGGGTTTGTGCTGATGTTTGTAACTCACAATAATATTGGTTTTATACTTTATACTTTAAAGTATACCAATCGGCTTAGAATCACTTTCTGAGTCGATTTAGCTATGTATCTCCGTCTGTCCGTCCGTCCATGCAAACCTTGTAATCAAACTACAGGTCGCAATTTTAAAGATAATTCAATAAAATTTGGCACATGATATTCTATGGTACCGGAGATGAAGCCTATTGAAAATGGACGGTGTGAAGATAAATATGTCGAATATATACGTTCCACACCTCTGTTAAATACATTCCACATGCTGTTAAAATACGTTCCACACATTCCACACGTTAAATTTAATAAAAAAATAAAAAATAAAAAAAACAAAATTATTTTTTTTTTACATTTTAAAAAGAAAATAAATTGATTTAAATTTTTTCACATTTTTATGTTAAAATGACTAAATAAAATTCACTAGAAGTGTGTAAGTTATAAACTATCCCAAACGTATTTCGGGCCCCTAGAACAGACCTGAATGGGACTCTGACACATATGGTGGGAGCTAGTATGGAGAAGTTCCCAAATCTGGAGAGGGGATTTTAAGTTGTTTCCCAGGGCGGACGCTATAATGGAGATTATTTCTAAATTTTTTTGAACTTTAAGTTCTAAACGTGTTGTGGGCCACCTAGGACAGACCTGAACGGGATTCTAACACATAAGGTGAAAGCTAGGATAGAGTAGTGTCCAAAACTGGAATGAGGATTTCAAGTTGTTTCTCAGGGAGGGCGCTATAAGGGGTGGAATTTAATTAATTTTGTTTTTTTTTTTTATCTAAGTTCCAACCTTATTGGGGGCCACATGGGACAGACCTGAATCGGATCTTAACACATAAGATGAAAGCTGGGACAGAGTAGTGTCCAAAACTGGAAAGAGGATTTAAAGATGTTTCTCAGGGAGGGCGCTATAAGGGGTGGAATTTAATTAATTTTGTTTTTTCGTACCTAAGTTCCAACCTTATTGGGGGCCACATGGGTCAGACCTGAATGGGATCTTAATACATAAGGTGAAAGCTAGGATGGAGTAGTGTCCAAAACTGGAAAGAGGATTTTAAGTTGTTTCTCAGGGAGGACGCTATAAGGGGTGGAATTTAATTAATTTGTCTTTTGTACTTTAAGTTCCAAACTTATTGCGGGCCACATGTGACAGACCTGAATGAGATCTTAACACATAAGGTGAAAGCTAGGACGGAGTAGTATCCAAAACTGGAAAGAGGATTTTAAGTTGTTTCTCAGGGAGGGCGCTATAAGGGGTGGAATTTAATTAATTTTGTTTTTTTTTTGTACCTAAGTTCCAACCTTATTGGGGGCCACATGGGACAGACCTGAATCGGATCTTAACACATAAAGTGAAAGCTAGGACGGAGTAGTGTCTAAAACTGCAAAGAGGATCTTAAGTTGTTTCTCAAAGAGGACTATAATGGGTGGAGGCTATAAAGGGTGGAATTTATTTACACAGTTTATGTTCCAAATACAGTTTATGGGACAGACCTGAATGGGATTCTAACACATAGGATGAAAGCTAGGACGGAGTAGTATCCGAAACTGGTAAGGGGATCTTAAGTTGTTTCTCAGCGAGGACTATAAAGGGTGGAATTTATTTAGACAGTTTATGTTCCAAATGTATTGCGAGCCACCTAGGACAGACCTGAATGGGATTTTAACACATAGGATGAAAGCTAGGACAAAATAGTATCCGAAGCTGGTGAGGGGATATTAAGTTGTTTCTCAGGGCGGGCGTTATAGGAAGTGGAATTAGTTTTTATTTTTTTTTTTTTTTTTTTTTGTACTTTAAGTTCCAAACGTTTTTTGTTGTTGTATTGTATTGGAATTTAAAACGTTCTTATGAAAAGTACGAAAGAAGAACAACATATCGTCACCTGAAACGCAAACGGCCCTAACTAACCAAAAATCCAAAATCGATTTTATTGCTGATTCTAATGTATTGCATCAAAACAAATGTTCACAAAATAAATTAGACTCCTCCGACCAAAATTAGCGATCTTATTGACAAAAAACAAAAGGCCCTATCTACAAAAACATTTAAATATTAAAGGTAAAAAATCCAATTTATCCATTTTTATGTACGCCAATGTCAACTATCATAACAAATAATACGTTTTACCATTAAACAATTTGATTATTTTATAAAAATAAATAGCGCTGATAGAAACAAACTTTTCAATTTAAATAGTTTTTTGCGTTTTAGGTGACGATATGTACTTTTGCCTTTTTACCACAGAAATGTTTATGACTAAACAAATTAAAGGGTTTAGTTTTTATGAAAATATAACACCGTGCGACAGAAATTATTGGACCTAAACGAGACCATATGCCCATGATACTGAAGTTTTCAGTTTTTCAATTTGTTATCTTTTCTCCTTTTTAAAGGACTTTAACGTTAAGGATGAGGATATTCAAATTTATTAAAATGACTCTAAGGTTTCAACATACACTATCGGACAAAATAAAGTGCAAAAGTGCTCATGCTACATTATTTCATCGAAAAATCTGTTAAATGATTATTGAATATGGAATTTTTTTAAAATTCGTTTAGTTTATATACAATGCTACAAAAATAACAGTAAAACAAATTTATTCCACCGAAAATTTTTCTGTATAACATTTTAAATAAAAGTAAACTCACTGTTTTATCGGACAAAATAAAGTGTCCTTTAAAAAGGATCACAAAATGAAACACTTTAAATGTCCTCTAGTATCATGTGTATATGGACTCGTTCAGGTTCAATATAAAAACTGTAAAATTATATCTCGTTGTAATGTTTGTCAAAGTAAAAATTCAATTTGTAACAAAAAAATATTTCATAACTGATAACAATTTTGTAATAAATTTTCATTCAGAATAAGAGATATTCACAAATAATCCTGTCTGTTCTGTAAACCGAATCCGAGTAAATTTTTCGTTTAAGAACGAATTCTCATAATTTTTCTCATTTTAATTTTATTAAAATAAATTAATAAATTTAATTTTATTAAAATAAATTAAATAATTGTTTTTTGTGTTTTTTAATATAATTATAACTTAGTATAAATGCTATGGGCATTTTAAACTCTTTTTCATTTAAAATATTATTGTTTTTCTGAATTTTACGTTCAAATAAATATTCGATTTGCAGAACACCAAATTCGGTTTTAAAAGTTTCTCGTTTTTGAAACCGAATCGATTTACAGAACAGACAGGAGTATAAGATTGTAAATGTGGGAAATGTTAAGTTTTTTAATTATTTCTCAATAATTCATAAAAAATTTGAAAAACAAAAGCTGAAATAAAGAATAGTTAAGACCTCGGTTAGCAATTGAATTTGTAGCGAAAAATTATTTTTTTAGTAAAAAAATTCGAAAAATATTTTTTTTTTGTTAAAAATTAAATTTTGAAAAATGTTAAAGCTGTTGCAAAATATAGAATCTTTATTTTTGGTGAAAAAAGGTACACAAAAAAAGAATTTTCAATAAAACGATTAATCATAAATTTTAAAAGGGTTTAATTATTTTTTATATTTGAGTCATAAAATTGCAATCTCAAATACGTTTTGAACAACAAGAAAAATTAAAAAATATTTTTTTTGTGTATGAAATTAATAAAAAATAGTGGCTTTGTTCCAGAGCTTTTTGGGCTAAAGGGAATTATTGAATTTTTCCTATTTACTTGCAAAAATTACGAGAACAGAAAAAACTAAAAACAATAAGTTTGGTACTTAAAATGCAAAAAAACTAAACGAATTCTACTTCCTATAACGCCCGCCCTGAGAAACAACTTAATATCCCCTCACCAGCTTCGGATACTATTTTGTCCTAGCTTTCATCCTATGTGTTAAAATCCCATTCAGGTCTGTCCTAGGTGGCTCGCAATACATTTGGAACATAAACTGTCTAAATAAATTCCACCCTTTATAGTCCTCGCTGAGAAACAACTTAAGATCCCCTTACCAGTTTCGGATACTACTCCGTCCTAGCTTTCATCCTATGTGTT